TACACGACTCTGACTTTTCCTCCAGAAAACAGTCAACAGAACTACAATAATTCCTCAAAGAAATTTGAGCAAAGCAGTAGTGTAGGAAAGTCATCTGATTCCAGGCAACTGTCTCCCCAAGTTAGTTACACAGATGAAATGCTTCATGCTTCTACCAGGGATATTCTGCCAGTATCATGTGTCTAATCTCAGTCCTGTATCTTGATTAACACCTTACAAAGCCCTTGCAGAGGTTCCTGAACTAAGTATGAGGCAATAGATTTGCATATAAATGAATCACAAAACTTCAGGTAATAAAAAACCTGAACAAGAGAAGGAATTTCATGCCTACTATGATCCTTAGAGAAGTAAGCTCCCTCTGGCAATAACTAACTCCAACCAGAAAAAGCCTGTCGAGCTCTAGTGGACATAGCCAAAGATAAAAACCCCTATGAACTGGTTTAGGCACCCTGGAGCTATGTGCTTTAATTATAGAAGTTTCCATGAGATGCATATAGAACAAGAAAATGTTCTTAGTAGGACAAAGCTAAGATCAAGATCAGACTCTGTGCCAGACATCCAGGACAAGGTAAACGACTAATTAACTCACTCCAGCATGGGGCAATAGCAGATGGGACTGTCCTATCTAAGGGCACATGGCTACTTGTTGACATGAGATGATCTCCAAGCTACAAGAATGTGGCTCAGGGAGTTCCTATTCCCCTTCTTGTTCAGTCACTTGCCTTTGACAGCCTGTAAGTCTCCTTCAACATGAATCAGTGAGCAACACTAAATGAGGTGTGATTCAGCCTACTGCGTTACCTACATTTTTGGTTTAATCCTTGTAACATTCATGTGAGCAGCAGGTGGGTTGTTAAGGAAGCTCTGAGACGGGATCAAACACTTGGCTAACCTTCTGTTCACTAATATTTTCTTCAATATTTACATTTCAAAGGTTAACAGGCAAACCTAAGCTTATTGTGATATTTCTTCAGCCCACGACCACCAGTCCCATCCATAAGCCTCAAGCTTTTGTTTCAACGCCATTTTAAATTACTTTAATACTAAATACTTCACTATTAAAACTCTCTCTCTCTTGCCCCACCAAGTCCTGTTACTTTAGCCCTAATACTATCAGGATTATCCTTAATCGTTTTACAAACCTTAAATAAGAAAGTGCTGTCCCAGCTGCCCTGACCTTTGAGGTGTGCCCACTATTCTCAACCTGCAATTTATCATATGACTGTTGTAAAGTTCAGATATGACACCTCACATGCAACTTGTAAGCTAAAGATAGACCAACATCCCTCGCATGTCAGCAGATTGGCCTTGAACAGCTGAATCAGGGCTTCCCTGACTGGCAACCCCCCACCAGTTGACAGGCATTAAAAAATTCGGAGGCACTGTAAGAGAGATGTGACTGTGCAACTGCCGTTCTCCCAGCACGTCCTTAACAACCGCAGAGATGTGCAATGAGTGAACAGAGACCACAGGCAGTAAAAGCTGCCTTGCTCTGCTAGCCGCCTTCCTCCACGATCACAAAGCAAAAACACTGCACACCTGTCGAGCAGCAACCCGCAACACACATGTGAAGCATGAGAAAGCCAAGCTCCCGGCATCTTCTCCAGAGATATGAGGAAGTACCTGCCTGCAGCTCTTCGCCTTTAACAGCAAAGATGAAATCCCTGAAGACAGAACTGCTCACTAACAGCTATCCTGGCTGCAGACGTTTCTATGGTCACCCGCGTAACACGCAGCCCCTGCAGCACGCTTTGGGATCTCACATGTCTTAAAGCCTGCTGCACCCCACGTTCCTGTGCCTGCATAAAGGTATGAAAAGCCTACCCAGCTTCAGCCTGGCCACAAAAATCACGCCAGCAGGCTGAAAGCAATGGTGTGATACAGAGTTGGACGGAGCGCTTGGCACATTCAGCGCATCTCCCTTCTGCAGCACAGGGAAAGGCTCTTGCACAACTTCCCCCAGCTCACAGCACAGACCTGCTCACCTCCACCGGGGCGAGACCTGCATCCGCTCAAGCTGACACTGGATTACACACCTCCCATCAGAAGGGGGACGGGCGGAAGGGTTTAAGAAGGAGGAAAAGGAAGAGGATGTGAAAAGTCGTATTTAAGCAGACCAGTTAAAGCAGAAAAATCCATAGTTTGGAAAACCCCCTTTTCTATTTAACTTGCATCAAATCAACCGGTTTAAACAGTCTTAGAAGCACCGAGATCTCATCGAATTCAAACCAAAAGAATCAAAAAGAACAAAGTCCACTCCACGCTGCTTCAGCAATCCCTGCCAAGGAGCACAAGAAACACATCCACGCTGTACCCAGCTATTACGACAGAGCCGTCACAAACTTCTCCCGCTCCAACCAGCTACTCAGGGTGCTGGAGACCACCCCTCCATAGCTCGCTCCCTCCCGTTCCTCCCTCGGGGCCATACCTGCTTCCACTGGCGGTAGGTGGAGAACTCCTGGGAAGGAATGAAGAGGCTGAGTCGGAAGATCGATTTGAGTTCAGCTGGCAGCCCCTTCGACTCAAAGTATTCAAACTCCGCCTGTGACTCCCCGAACACCGGCACATACAGACAGAGGCAGAGCATCTTTCTGAGCCGGAGACTCAGCTGCTCTGCTCAGACTGGCCGAGAAGTAAAACTGAATGACTCCCCTGAGCTAATTTCAGTGCGTAGAAGAAAGGAAATGCCAGGAAGTCTCATGACACATGCCTATGAGCAAAGCCGGCTCCGGTGGGATTGGCTCTACAAGCCCTGCCCTTCTACTAAAAAGGGAAGCCACGGCTGTACACTCCCACCCAGCCCACATGCGAGCTGCCTCCCATTGCTCAACCCCAGGCTCTCATTAAGCCCAGAGACCTTACATCACGCTCTCCACACGTTAACTCTTACCAGGCATCTCATTCAACCCAAGCGGCTTTGGTCAACGTTTAAGACGCTCACTTGCTGTTCCTTACATCCCATCGCTGCTTTCTGATCCTGTGCTCAGCACTCCAGGGGCTCAGACACACAGCACAGTAGGGACCAGTCTTGATCATAACCTCTCCCACCACACAACACAGGAGGATTTTCACTGTCTTCCTCTTCCCAAAATTCTTCCTCTAAAACACTGTAAGAGCAGGATGCCACCCATTTACTCCTTTCATACATGTTTGGGATATCCAGCTTAAGCAAAAACCCTCAAAATTCCACCTTAATAAATAGTCAAGAATTACCCAACCTTGCTATGCTAGAGTTGATTGGCCTTGATGCAAGTTCTCCCAAAAACACCTGAGCCAGCTTGGAGCAGGCAGTCCCTGCATACCAAGATCTCCTCTGGAGTACTCCAGAGTTACTAATACAGGAGGCAATACAGCCTGTAGGAGAAGGTTTGCCATTGTGCCAGATACCCAGAAAACCACCAAAATCAAGGGCAGGCTTCAAACCAGACCCAGCTGCTTCAAAGCCTCCTAGTTAAGCATCCACACAGCAAGGACAACAGCTTACTAGATTTTCTTCCTCTCCCAACTACAATTAAACATCACAGTCGGATACGCGCTATCATGAGAAGCGGTCCAGGCAGAACAACATTTTCCAGTTTCTACTATTTACAATTTAATCGCTTTATAAGCACATTCCTGAGCTTTCATCAGGAGCAAGCCAGGCTGAAGAGGGAGTGTGGCACATGCATCATTTAATGCAGATATAATTACAGGCTCCCGAGCATTTAGTGGAGTCTGATGTACGGGATAACACCCCGCACTACAGCGAGAGTGCCAAAGAAGCGCAGCAGGTAACAATACTCAGTACAGAACCATTGATTGTTAACCTGAATTTTAAGATATAGTCTTGATGTTTGTCACTGAGAAGCTATCACACAAGGAAGATGCAAAAACCCACAGCCAAGAACCAAAACACTATAAACCCGCCTGCACTTGAAGTAACACAGCATGTTTGCTGAACTGGTTTAAGCCAGCGCAGTGAACAGCTTTCCCCACCACTGCAGACACAGCAACATTTTCTTGTGTTTGCTCTGTTTAAACACTGTCTGGCCAGTGCAAATTCCAATAAGCACTCCCCTTCTCAGATCCTAATGTGACAAGGGGCCTTTACATCTTTACCGTGGTATTTTGTTCTTTAGATTTCAAGAAAAGCCAAGGTCTGTAACAAGCTGTTTGTGGAGCTGCATGTCAATCACAGGAACTGGGAATATTTAATCTGGGGCTTTATTTCAAGGATTTTAATATTTTTTTAAAAAGCTTAATAGATCATGACCCGCAGCAATTTGGTACCCTTGAGAATTGTGACCTACAACGGTTTCCTACGCCCTCCCCCAGGCACCTCACCTACCACAGCACTACTGCCACGTTACCTAACCAGGCTTAACCTACTCCCTGCTGACGTCTCTCCGCACAAAAACAGGATCTTCTCAGGGCCTCCAGATCCTCTTAAAGATCAGCCGCAGCAGCAGCTCACCACACGCACACCAACAGCACACCCCAGCCTTCCCACCGAGCCAAGTCTCACTGGAAGCAGCACCCTGACGCCACACACCACCGGCCAAAAGCAAACGCCTTCAGCAGCCTGACCAAGGCGAGCAGCTCCCCCAGCTCCAGGTAGTAAGTGAACAAACGTAACTCAGATTTGCCCCACCAAGCCTTAAGATCCTCCGTAGTCCTTCCCACGAGTTGCCAGCATCCCTATTAGAGCTGCTTGGCAGCTCAGTTGCTATGCCAACATGATGCAGATTTTCCTAATAAACTCTGTCTAGAGTTGGCAGCCAGAGACAAAAGGCAAAATCTACACATTTTAGGAAAAAAGCCCTACTACCTACGTCAGAGGAAAGGAGAAAGGTAATGAGGTTAGGAAAGCTGATTTTAAGCAGGGTATTCATTACAGGACAGCGAGCTAACAAGGAGAGACAGATTGTGAATGAAGTTTATACCAGCAATTCTGGTTATAATGACAAAAGGAACTTAAACAGGCATTAACAAGTATTTCGATTTCACCTAAAAGAATCCTGGTAAACCCGAAGTACCCGAAAGCAAGACAGCTCTCCAAAGCTGCAGGGATCAGTGTGCTTGAACACAACTAGCACGGGGTCACCACCCAAGTCTCAGCACACGCAGCCGGTCCCGCGCCCCGAGCCCCTGCAGCATGTGTGGCCGTACACTGCCGACAGTGCATCCCTCATTCGCACTGTATTCCTGATCAAACCAAGGACACGGCACAGAGTCCAAACAAAGTCAGTCCTTTCAAGTCACTCCTCCCTGATGTTTCCTCCATCCACCAATTCTGCCAATGAAGCCAGAGCTGGACCTACACGTTTTTCGTGATGTGAAGCCAGCCTAGCTAATACCCGCCTCTGCTAAAGGGAATGCTAGTGGGTCATCTTCCCTCTACAGAAGGCTCACTTTTCTTGCCATCAAGGGAACTGCAAACTCATTTTCATTTTATTTATAGGATTTGGGTCTTATTTAAATGCGGCGTGAGTTACCAGTTTCAACACCCTGCCATTCCAGTGTTAACCTTTCCAAGTCATTTGTATTCTTCTAGGCATCTGCTTCATCACCGGTTTACTGCATCAGTTCCAGAAGGTACCTCCCAAAGAATGCGAGGATGCAGCCATACAAGGAGCAGGAAAGTATGCTGTTTAATTTTGAATTCACTTTGCTAAAAAAAAAAGTCTCTAAAAATACCAAGTGCCAGTGAGCGTCACAGCCACATAACTAACATCCTCCTTCACAGGCAAAACAGCTTCCTGAGCGAGTACACCATGGGCCAGAGAGAGAACCACTACTGCTCCAAGTTTTCACTAGGTTCTGCTGACTTGATATTTTTTAATTTCTGGAAACTAGCTTATAATTAATTGTACAGTACAGAAAGTCCTCTCAAAACACAAACAAAGTGTAAGTGTAGGAAGGAGGGGAGTTAATCATTTAAGAGATCCCAGCAGAGTAAAGAGCTGTAGCCAGCCAAGGCTGCGCAAGCGGAAGGATAGAGACCGGGGAAGGCAGACAACACTACATGGTATCTGACACAAAGGTGACCAGGAACAGTGACCTGTTCCACTGACAACACACAGATCCAAAGTTACAAGTCCAGATGGTGGTATCAGGGGCAGATCATATCCCTCTCCTGTGTACACACACCAAGGGGCCAACGCATCACATTTGCAACCAATATTTTCTCCCACATTTGCAGAAACAGCCTCATGTTGAAATCGTCACCTTCAAGCAAGGATCTGCGCAGAAACACGCCGATTACAACATGAAGGCTGAAGAGACAGAGCTAGGAAGCACCTCAAGTCAAATTTATTGATACATGTAAATTCCTTACAGTAACCCAAGTATCAGGCATGATATGTTGTGTGTTTTTAGCAGAGATGTGTTACAGGTGTTTTTACAAAACAAAGCGGCATATCAGTCAAGAGACTTACTTCTCCCAAGGTCACAGATGTTCAGTGGCAGAGAACAGAAGCCGCGTGTCCCCCACATTTTCTTTAAACACCAAATAATTCTGTTTGCTCACAGTGGTTTATAATCTATCCCTAAGGCTGTACAAGACTTTTTGCAACACTCCTCCTTCAGACAGGTGATCAGAACACAGATATCTGATCAAGCACAAACAAGTCATTGCAGCTTAACAAGTTACTGTCCGTCAGCTAAGCCACGACGGCTGGATGCAGCATCAGCCGGTCCGAACTGCAAGGTAAAACTATCTGCATAATCCTCAGCAGAAGAGCTTTATATACGCTGCGTGTTACTTTACAGTCAGGACAGGCTAAAATTACACAGTCATGACCTCCTAGCAGATGGGCAGTTACTTCCTAAGCTGCAATAACTCCATTTTACCACATCCTTATCCTCTAGGTATTTTCTCCGTTAGCCAATTTTAGGGTTTCTACGCAGCAAAACTTCCCAGGGTCACAGAGGCAAGAGGAGATCGGTATCAGCTCTCAGAAGAAGCTTCATTCACAGGTGTGAACAGATGGACTCTCCCTCACTGAGGGACCATTGTTCCCTGGAAGACACCAAAGGTTTTCAGTCCTACGCTTTCAAGGTTTTCATCACAACCTCCTTCAGTTCTGAGCCTCTGTCCTCCTTCAATCTCTGTGCACAGAAGTTCTCTTCTTCTCAACATGCACACGCTCCTCTTTCTGAAGAGGACGCACAGTGCTAACTGCTAACGAGAGGGATGAAGGCAAAAGCGCCTGCAGATTTTCCAGTCTGATTCAAGCAGGGAGTGGTCTCTGCTCCCCAGAATGCAAAATGCTACCCTGCCTGTTTCCGTTCAAAACGGCAGCAGAAAGGACATTCATCCCCTCCACAACTCGAACTTGTTCACCCCCCATTTTAGAAAGAAATCTTACAGCAACAACCGTTCTCGATTCCGTCAAACAAGCTGGATCCTGCAAGTCACGCACCCCTACCCCCTGCTGCAGCCCTTTAGTATTATCCCAAGCTCCCACCACTTGCAGGGGTTATGCCCAACTCCTCCTCTCCTAATCCCAGGTCACACCCTTGGTTTCAAACCCCATGTAGTCAGAGCTGACTGCACCATCCTCAGGACAGACAGACAGTGTTCCCTCCCCATCAAAAATAAACCAGAACCGCAGTCAGCCAGCACTGTGCTAGGAGCCCAGGCACTAAATTAAGCAGCTTTTGTTCGCCTCCCCGCAGACAAAGCCTCACCATTTCTTCTCCGCCAATTGTGTGCACCCACCACCTCCCCACTCTCCCACCCCCCGGGAACTTCCCATCCTCACGAGCATTTTAGTCTCTCCCTTATGCCACCCGCTCCCCAGGGACAGGCTTTCCTCTCTTCCGGGCTGTGCCATTCAAATAATACAGCCAGTTACTCATTTGCTCAAAACATGCTAGCTTTTCCAGAGGCTTGCCAAATTACCAAGACTGACTCCAGAACATTTTAGGATTTGTTTGATTCTTTGCCAGTCTCCTGTGCAGGGGTGGGACTCGCCACTAACCTGCATTATCATTCCCTGCCCTCTCAGTCGTGCCTCTTACAAGTTGCCCAGGAACCTTCGAGACCCCCGTATTCCCCCTTGCCCCTAAACAGCAATTTTTCCCCCTTTGAACACAATGTCTGAAAGGTTAGATCACCTCCTCTCTTCGCAGTCATTCCCCTGGTCCTCCCACATTCTTCTAGCAAGCACATGCATTGGACCCTGCTTCCTTTTCCTGTTCCTCTCCCCCCTCCCCAAATGCACACACACCCCCCCAGCTACTTGCACACTCCACCTGCAACACCCCTACTCCCGGCAGACCACACACTCCGCCGTCATGTGCGCCAACCCCTCCTCAAGCCCCTGGATATCCCGTTACCTTTGGAAAATGCTCTGCGGGTCCAACCACCAGTAGGATAGTTGGTCTCCTTTCAGTGGGACCAGTCCCTCTGTCCTGTGGCTTCCCCAACATCTTTGGCCCTTTCTCCCCGGGGCCTGGAAGTGGGGTGGTGTTTCTGGCCTCATCCTCTTTTCCATCTGCAGGACCTTGGCATATGGCCCTGGGAAGGAAGCTAGACAGAAAACGCCAAAAGGTCTGCAGCATTGCTGCTCCAGCGAGCGTCCCAGGCAGGGAAACCCTGTGTGCTCAGGAGCTGCCCGTTGCCAAGGATGATGTGACAGCACTACCAAGCACCCCCAAGATGGGAATCGGCACGGCAACCAGCACGGCAACCAGCAGGAGGTTCAACCCAGCGACTCCACGGGCTCAGATTCTTTACAGACCGCTCCTGCGGACGCTTCCTGCCTTTTGAAATTGCTGCTACTGCAGTCGTGCCTGGCCTGACAAGCAGCTCATTGTACCAGAGCCTCAGAAATCTGATGGCAACAGACAAAGCACAAGACCCCTGGCATGGAGAAGCCGAGACGCTGAGCTTCGGAGACTGCTTGGACAGAGAAGCCGAGACGCCACGCTTAAGAGGAAAGCTAAAAATGAACCTCTCCAAGAGAAGCTTCTCAGAGCTGCCAATTAACCCGCGCGTCCCGGCTCATCCTAACGGCACATCAGACGAGCAGCGATGCCGAACACCCAGGCTGCATCCCCACTGCAGCAGTGCCCAGCCAATCCTGGCTCCCAACACTGCGGTGCTCCGGAGCAAGGCAGCGCGCGCAGCCGGCCGGGAGCGCGCCCTCGGCACAGCAGGCATCCCGCAGAGGAGCGCGCCTGCCAGCTCCATCGGGCAGGTACGGGCAGGGCAGCCGTCCGGACCGCTGATGCCACAGCCCTGAAGCAATTCGGCTGCGCAATTTATGTACCCGCTCCCGGGGCTCAGCAGCTTCGGCTGCAGCTCTTTGTTAGAGCAGCAGATGGTTCTCCGGAGAGAATCCGGCTTTTCCCAGCCGTGGCTGAATTAACCTCTAACTGCACCCTCTCTCCCTAGTCTATTATAGTCTCATCCGTCACTACAATAGCTCTTTGGTGCTGCATTGTGCTTCTGCAGCGACACGGACACGCTCGCACAGCGTTTACAGCTATTCATCTACGCAAGATCTAAAATGCTGTAGTTAAACTATTGCCCATTAGTCAAACAGGCCGAGTTCTGCTGAATGAGCCTGTAACCGTACAGGCAAGGGCAGGATTAGCCAGAGCAGGACTGCAAGTATATAGCAATATATAGGCACAGAACACATGACATCCCCTGAATTTCTGCAAGAAATCCTGTGTTTCCCTCTGCTGTCACAGCAGCAATTGCTCACAGCCCCAGCTGTAAGGCTGCGGCTATCGGCCTCCCAACCAGGGCACCACCAAAAAAGTCAACCCACCCTGGTGGAACCAAGCAGCCCACACGTGGCAGACAACAGCAGGATGGAGACAGTAAGGGCTTATTTTCCATTTTAAAGTACCAACAACTTACTTTGTAGTCCTAGATTCTTACCTGCCTTTTGCGTCTACAGAGGGCACTGCATGGTCACTTCCCAAACAAGAACAGTTTGAGGTTTTTAACACGCAGAATAAATAAGTACAGACTACAGCTTCCATCAGCCAAGGCTCCCGACCCACAGTAGCACAGCAAGATCCACAGAGAGCACAGGACCTCCGTTTTCAGCTTTTGAGAGTGACAAACTGTAGGAAACTTGTATTTTCATATTGAATATCTGTAAAACAAAATCCAAAATCCTGGCAGCACTGCAAGCTTTAAGTAGCCAATTTGCAAATACATTTGAGCGGAAGAACACTAAACATACACTTGGGAACTTGCTAATGTTGAATTCCTTTAACCAACCTGAGTAATGGAAAAAGTGAGAGACAAGTACATAGAAGACAACATATTAAAAAAAGAATTCTTCTGCAAATACATTTCAGAATTACTTAAGAAGAAAAAAATGCTGCTTAATCATAAGGTCTACATACAGTATGCAACTAAGTTTTTTACCTTAAAACTTGACACGTACAAAAAAATCAACAAACCAGAACAAATTTACAAAATTCAGAGGCAGTAAGGCTGGGTTGAGGGTGTGGGGAAAGCCCTGTCCCTCTCTGAGGAATGGCACAGCCCAGTTCTAGTTGGGATGTACTCCGAAGCCCAGGCTCAGGCACAGGCAGAAAAGAGCAAGGAATTTTTGTCATGTCTCAACTCCTTAAGTTGTTGCCAGTCATCACAAGTACAAGCACAAGAGCTAAACTACTTTCTAAACCACAGCAAATCAGATCCCTTAAGATGACCTTTGAAAGCCAGAGGAGGAACAAAGCAAATTTTCTGAACTGGGCAAGGTTCTTCAAAATCAGCTTCTATTAGCCCAAGGCTGTTGTTCCACACGCAGCAGTGAACCCATGTGAAGCTTACTGCCACTAAAAGAAGTCATCTCACACACCTGCTCTGCACTTACCTTGTTCCCATGCTCCTCTGACTACCTCATTGACCCAGACAAAAATTACAGAGCTTTCTGCTGGGGTAACCAGTTGAGGCTACTCATGGATGGGGTCCAAAAAAGCGTGAAAGGGCATTAGAGCTGCCTGCAGCGACAGCAGGCAGACTGGCACCACCGCTACGGAGCTACGGGCCATGAAACAGAAGGCAAAGCACCTGAGCAGGACTTCAGATTTGTCCTCAGCGATCACTTAACGCTGGGCTGCTACTCACAAGGACCCGTCACACCAGCTGATGCTGCCTGACACTATTTCTTACAGTTTCTCTGCACAGCATTAGCTTTAGTGGTGCGTGCATGGCAGGGATCCCATCTTCCTTTGTTTGTGCAGACTGCATAGTAAAATAGTAATTTGTGCAAGAAATTATATGCCTGGGGTGCAATTAAAGCAGAAGCTCAGCAATGCTTCCTTGGCCTTTGTCCTCGCTAAAGGAAATCTCAGAGGAATGCTGCCACCACACCAATGCACACAGCTCCTTGAGAACAGACAGACTTTTCTAATCACATTTTGGGGAAGAAAAAAAAAAGGCATTTTTTTTACCAAGTGGGGAATTTTATTAGGTCAGAATAATAAACTTAGTAAGAGCAAGATGATTATAGCTAGAGGCAAAACAACTGCTCTCCTACAGGGAATTTGTAGGAAAAGTATTACCCTACCAACACCATCACGAAGCAAATCATTCACACGTCAGAAAAGATGCAATAAATACCATGAGTCCAGCCTGAACGGTGACACAAAGGAACGGATGAAGAACAAAAACTCACTTTTTCTAGAAATCACAAGCGAATACCTAGGTCACACCGAAACGGCTTTCCCAACCTAGGCTTTATTAGGAGACAGTCAGCCCTCCCATTCCAGCTGTTTCCATCAATCAAGCACAGGATTTTGAAGGCAGAAAAGCACCAGGACTGATCCAAAAGCTCGCCCCGGGCCAGCACACCAGTCACTGGGGACAGAAGGCACCTGTGGCAGCTGGTGTCAAGAGTCCTACACCACTAAAATGGATAGTCATTAGATAGACAGAGGAGAAGACAACAACAAAGTCGTGTAATCTATACAAACAGAGACAAAGAAAGGAAAGAGCAAGAGTGACGTGTTTTGCTTAATTAAAACAATCTTTTCCTCAGTACTACAAGTTGTCAGAGGGAGGTTCTGTTTTAAGCAGCAAACACAAGGTATCTTGTATCGTCTTCAGCCACATCGCACAGGCCACATCTTAGTACCTGCTAAGTCTGAAACTCCAGTTTTCAAATGGGCATTTCCCCTTTCCAGCCTGGTAGTACTGGACAGAAATTCAGACTCAGACCATTTGCTTTTAGGTGGCTTCTAGAAGACTTCTGAGTGAACACGCAGCATTTTCCAGCAAGAATCTGATCCTCATCACCAGACAACTAGCTAACACCTAAAAAATGCGGGAGGGAGGATGAAAAAGAAAGGGGCGGCAGAGGGAAGGGAGCTGTGCTCGGAGCAACGACCCTTCTCCTCCTCCGGTGCCGGAAAAGCTGGCAGTGCGGTCGCGTCTCGTGTCTCCAGTTCCTTAGGTGACCCCGCAGGAATCAGCTGTGACTCATCTCCTTTGGGAGCTGTCCTGGAAGCACGCCGAGGAGTGCTGCCTACACAGTGCCACCCAGAGATAGCACTGGGATGGGCCACCATGATTCTTTCGACCACCTCTTATCTTTTCAAATGTAATTTCTGAAAGACAAAAACGTCAGAACTTCCCACTTTTCAGAAAGCCGAAGTTAACCCGGCACGGTGCTTCTTGCACCACGACATAAAATCAAAATATCTTGGCTGCTGCTGCATAAACATTCAACTACATTAATATGTTAAGGGGATACATTATAGTTCACTGAACACTACAAAGAAACCCAGGTCACCTCGTTACAGGAACCCTGCCGTAAGGGACTGGCTATTCTAGTTGATATACCGAGGCAACTGGGAGCCAGTGCCTAACACAGGGATACAGAGAGAGCTGGCCAGGGAGGGGGAAACGTGCAGCCATTGCCCAGAACAGCGAGTTCCATCGAGGCTGTGCTGTATCGCAGGAAGAACCAGGGATTGACTAAGAGAAAGGGCATCCTTAGTACTCAGAAATAAGAAAGTCGTCTTCTTGCTGTGCTAGAAAGTTGACCAGGAAAATAGCTAGGGAGAAATGATGGCCCTCCGGCAGCCTGGGCCCGGGCTTGCTCTCACACAGCCCCTGTGCTCCTTAGGCTAAACGATGCAGACTCACATACCAAACAGCTTTGCCTTTCCAAGCAACTCATGATCTAAAAATTTCAACAATTTCTCTTACAGCAGAATTCTCCACCGAAAGCCACTTTAACTGCCAGAAACTTCCCTGCAGCTGGCTGCACGTAACTTAGAAAAACGACGACGTCTCCCTTGCCTTTCTACATTGGCACTTGTTATCACAGCTACGCTTCTCCACCCGAGACAAAGCCTGGGGCATCATTAAAGTGCACTCATGTCCCACATTCAGAGGGACAAATATAGCAATAGGACATGAACAAGAACAAAGACTCATTTACCATTTGCTACAAGTAGGTCTGAAAGAAAAAAAATCCCTCCCCCTTCTCTCAACATCTTATCATGTTATAATATATGAAACAGAGAGCACGGAACTGCAGCAGCACCATTTTGTAGGGCTCTCAAACAGGAGACCAAATCCTTAT